TGGGTCGTGCATTAATCACGATGGTGACACGATGGACGCGCGAAATTCACCTAGGTTGCACTCTTTGTACTTGCTCGCCGCTGCTTACCGCCCTCTATATAGATTAAAAAATAGAAGAATTTGAGATTTTAGGATTTTGAAAAAGATGATATATGTTAGATTAAGCATGGAAGGATTTAAAATTTTAGAATTCTAGATGAAGAGATTTTACACATCCAAATTTTTATTTTTTTATTATCGTAATATTGTACAACTTTAATTATTTTATTATTATTTTAATAATAAAAAATTAATATTATTATATTTATTATTAAATTAATATTAGTCTTATATTGATCTCTCGCGAACTCTTAACTTTGATAACCTTCACTGTAAGAATTTTATTTTAAGTCATAATTTATGTAAGAAACATTTTTTAACACTTCTATTTTATATGTAATACTCAACTTGGAAACATGTTTAAGAAATTGAAATTGAAATTAATAATATATAAATATTTTTAATTTTTATTATCCGTATTATGTTTTTTTTTTCTATATTTTATATCAATTTAAATTTGTTTGAACTGATTTGCGACGAAATACTGTTCACGAAGACAGAAACACGAGATTCACCCACGTTTGGTTGAACTGATTTGCGACGAAATGCAGGCGAGGAAAAGGGGAGATGAGAGAGAGAGTTTCTTCGCTGAGGTGCGAAGAAAAGAGATGAAAGTAATGAAAAGTCGCTGTTACCCTGCAATATATGATAGCGGTTAAATCTTAACCGCTATTATAACAAACACTTGTAATAGCGGTTAAAACTTAACCGCTATTATATATCACTTCTAATAGCGGTTAAAACATAACCGCTATTATATATCACTTCTAATAGCGGTTAAATCTTAAACGCTATTATATATCACTTAAGATAGCGCTTACAGAGGAACCGCTATTATATCCTCCAATATTTTGCTCGAGCGAGACATAGTCGCTCAAGCGAAACACAACCCGAGACTGAAGAAATTAAAATATGGTTGTATATGATAGCGGTTCCACTGGAACCGCTATCTAATATACACTTTAGATAGCGGTTGCAGAGAAACCGCTATTATATCCTCCAATTATGATCAATCATTACCTAAATCTAATCGATCAGAATCATATTTCGCTCGAGCGAGATATAGTCGCTCAAGCGAAACACAACCCGAGACTCGAAGAAATTAAAAATTTGGTTGTATATGATAGCGGTTCCACTGGAACCGCTATCTAATATACACTTTAGATAGCGATTACATGAGGAACCGCTATTATATCCTCCAGTTATGATCGATCATTTCAAATTATGATCGATCAGGATCGCTTTTCGCTCGAGCGAGATATAGTCGCTCGAGCGACATGCAACCCAAGACTCGAATCTTAAAATATTTTTTTGAATATTATGTTTTTAAATTTGCTATTAGAGAAAACCTTTCAGAATTCAAAATGTTAAATACTTTTAAATATTAAAATTAACTTTATCAAAAATTAGGAAAACAAAATTTATCCAAAAGAGTTCAAAAATGTATAAGAGTATTCTCAATTTTGAGTTTAATTATATTGTTCATTCTCAAAGTAGAAATTTATATTGTAGTTATTTAATTTACATTTTGTGATCTTCTTAAAATTAGCATCAATAACATTAGACTTTACATTTGATTCATACCTAACTAATTATAGATTAAAAGGAAAGTGGTATAACCATGCATTTTACTTTTCTATTTACCTTATTCTTTTAATTATTTTATATAATAATAATCAAAATATTCACATGAATATGGGCATTTTCCAAAATAATATTATTGTATTATTGTTAAAATTAGCATCAATAACATTACACTTGATCTTCTTAATTATATTGTTCATTCTCAAATTAGAAAATTATATTGTAATTATCTTCAATTTATTAAAAGTGTAATTAAATCTCTATTTTCTTAATTTTTTTTGTTTCAAACTTCTCAATGCTACATTTTTGTAACTTCTATCATTATATTATCATCCTCATCTCCTCCCATGTTCTATTTTATCTTTACAATATTTAATATTCTTAAATAATCTATATTTTTAATTATAATTTTTTAATATATATTTCGAAATTAATCAATTCTAAGCTATTATTTGAAAAACTAATCAATTCTAATCAATAATTTAGAAAAATAATCGATTAGAATTAATTATTTGAAAAAATTATGAAATATGATCGATCATTTCAAAAATCTAATCGATTAGAATCATATTTCGCTCGAGCGAGATATAGTCGCTCAAGCGAAACACAACCCGAGACTCAAGAAATTAAAATATGGTTGTATATGATAGCGGTTCCACTCGGAACCGCTATCTAATATACACTTTAGATAGCGATTACATGAGGAACCGCTATTATATCCTCCAATTATGATCGATCATTTCAACTTATGATCGATCAGGATCGTATTTCGCTCGAGCGAGATATAGTCGCTCGAGCGAAATACGGCTTATGAGCTCACGCTTTGAGAGTTGTCTGTAGCCTACCTAAGCTCCGCTTTTTCAGCTCAATCCAATCGACAGTGGGATTAGAGAGCAAGTCTGTTCAAAGTTTGTTTTAATCTGTTGAAATAGCTGTTATAATCTGTTAAAAGTCCTTTCAACCCATTAATGCGTTCTTGTTCTTTAACGCAATTGTTTTAGCCGATACGACCAAGTTTTTATCAGCTTAAAACTTTTTACAAATATTTTCTAAGAGTGATTTAATCGATTGATTCGCGGTTTAATCGATTGATTCAGTTTAAAACTTTCTTATAACACTTTTCAAGTTATTTTAACTCGATACAAAGAAGTTTTAATCGATTAAAACCATGCACGTAATTTTTCTAAGTCATTTTAATCGATTGAAATGCGTTTTAATCGATTGAAATGCGTTTTGACTTTATCTTTGACTTCATCAAATCACTCGAGATCTTTGCTAGTCGCTCGAGCGAGATTAGTTTCGCTCAAGCGAAAACAACCCGAGGATGAAAATTATGTGCAGGTGTCTTCGCTCGAGCGAGTTTACTGATCGCTCAAGCGAAATATAACTTGTAATAGCGGTTTTAGGTGAACCGCTATCTAAAGTGTCGAGGTTTTGGAACTGTGATCGATCATTTTGGCAAAATAATCGATCATTTGAATTATTAGTCAAATAATTATTTAATTATTAGTCAAATAATTTATTTAATATGTCAACATTATTTGAATATGGATATGCAATGTACATAATTTTGTAATTGTTTATTTATATAATTTTTAATAACTATCTAAAAAAGTTAATTTTTTAAATTTGTTTCCAATTACAAACACTTTTAAATTTGTTTTTTCTTTTAAATATATAATCAATGTTAAAATATGGATAATTAATTAAAAAATTATATTTATAATCATTTGAACCTTATTTGATAAAAAGAGTAAAATGGTAATTTTCTTAAATAATAAACATAAAATTATAATTTTTATATCTCATATCAATCAAATCATTCACAATTTCCCATAAACTTTCCTTTCACTTTTCAATCATCTTCATTTCTCTTCAAATCCCTCCTTTTCCACTCTCTCATTTCCACTCTCTCAAATCACTCCATCCAAACAAAGGCTATAGTATTAATGAAAAAGTTTCGGATCTTAAACAGAAGTGACGAATGAGTTCTCATAGTTAAGGACGCCGTACAAGGGTGAAAACGGCTACGAAAGCCGACTTTCCATTTTTAGCAACCAAAACCAGAACCTTTTCTCTGCTACTTCGGTCCAACCAAACTTTCTCTTTCTTTTATTTTATAGTAATCAGCAGCAGTTTCTTTTTAAATTATTTACATTCTAGAATTTTAAATTCTCCTTGCTTTTAGCTCAGAGCTGAGCTGCCCCTGTTTTGTTGAATTCTATGAACAGAGATTTCGTCATGATCGAGGGTTTTAAGGTCGGTGATTGACTCGCTGCCTCTCTCACCAAACCTATTTCTAGGGTTTATGTGTTAGCAATCCCCAATTTCTTTGTCAAATTTGTCGTCTACCTCTATTTTTTTAATTCTGTTAACATTTCGCATAAATAACAAGGATTGGAGCTCCTCACTATTTTCCAATCGTTGACATGATTTTCTGCGCCCCTTGTATCTTACGCCGTTTTCCAATACTCCCCAACATTCAGGTTTTGGGAACCCTAACTAATTTCCTTGTTATTGAGTTAAGTTTGTTAGTTTTTTAATGGCTTGTTGTTTTTAAGGTGTATGTCTGAAATGTATTTTCACCTCTCTATTTAGTTCAGCTGTGCCGTTTTGAGGATTGGATGCATAGCTCTGTTGTATGAACGTCAGTCTTTTAAGTTATTGTTGTTCATAGGTTCGGATCCTCTAGTTTCAGAGAGAAGATTTAAATTGCGAGGGTGGATTTTTCCAGTAGTGATGACTGAATAAAATGAGTTACAAACATGGATAAGATGGGTGTTAGATTAATATTTAATATTTGATATGTTTCTAGATTGTAAAAGGACTTTAAATAAACTCAACGACAATACTCAGTGTAATTGGTAAATACTAAGTATGTATATGCACAACGATATTAGATTTTTATTTCGTTTTCCAGGAAAATTTCCCACCATATATAGGCAAGAGCAAGTTTAAAAGTGAGAAATGTTTTTCACGTATGCAGTGTATTTTTATTTTTGCCTTAAGAGCTGAACTTTTTTTTTTCTTCTTTTAAAAAGATTTTTAGCTCAGTTGTGATTGGACATCATGGCTTGAGCATGTGCTTAAATCTTACCATTTTCAAAAAATTGCTCTTGTGATATTGTAGGCCGCTATTTATCGATTTTGTATTTTATTTTTTGTTTGTGCTTTTTGCTGATGCTAATTTGAGTACACCTACTTACAGACTTCAAGAATGCTCGTGAATATGGAAACAACGTCTCCTGCAAATTTTTACGAAGAGGAAATCTAACATCGGTTAAATTTTTCAATAAGTTTTGATTTCCAACCGAAGTATGGAATACCCTTTTTCTTCCAAGGAGAGAGATATTGGGGATTGGCAATCTTCTGGAACTCAGTTGGTGGGATCAGCATCATTAGAGGACAGAATGAGCAATTTAATATCAGAGGATATGCCCAATAGCTTCTCTGAGCTCATGAACTTTGATAGTTATGCTGGTTTGTGCAACAACCCATCCATATCGGATCAGATTTTGGCTAATCAGCTTCCGTCATTTGGCTCATTATCATATTCGTCGCCTGATGGATTCGATCTCATCCAACAGAACAGTGGGCAATGCTATATGTCAGGAGTTGGCAGAAATAACAATGATATGGAAAGTTCCGCCATTTATGGGGAGAAAGTTGTGTGTCAGCAAATGGACACCCTACTTGGTTTCTTAAATGATGCAAATGAAGCAAATAATTTAAATTCTAAGCTAAAAATTAACGGCTCTTCTCAACATCTGAATAACTCTGATGCAGGCAATTATATAATGTCCAGGCCACCTTCTTTGTCACTTGATGACAGAATGCTGAGGGCTTTATCCTTCTTTAAGGAATCAGCTGGAGGGGGAATATTGGCACAAGTTTGGGTACCCATAAAGGATGGTAATCAATTCATCTTAAGCACAAGTGAACAACCTTATTTGCTAGATCAAATGCTTGCAGGGTATCGTGAAGTGTCCAGGACATTTAAATTTTCCGCAGAAGGAAAATCTGGTTGTTTCCAAGGACTTCCTGGTCGTGTATTTACCTCCAAAGTTCCTGAGTGGACATCAAATGTTGGTTACTACAGTATGAGTGAGTACTTAAGGTTCGAGCATGCAATTAATCATCAGGTTCGTGGATCAATTGCATTTCCCATATTTGATGTGCACTCGGAACAGTCATGCTGTGCTGTACTGGAACTTGTCACTACAAAGGAAAAGCCAGATTTCAACAGAGAGTTAGAAATTGTTTGCCGTGCACTCCAGGTATCTTTTTCTTTCTTCAGTGTTACTTACCGTTTTGCACTTTTTGCTTGTCTCACTGCACCTCATGCCGAGTCTGATGGTAGTTGACCTGGTGGCATTCGCCATAAATTCAGAATTTCCTTTACGCTCTACTTTTTGCTCTTCAATTACAAATATATGTGGAAGTAGGTTCCCTTGGTTTAAGAAGGGGTGAAAGAATTTAGGCAAATATTTATTCAATAGACCACATACTTAAGTATTTGAGTTATTTCAAAATGCATCTTATATTCTTTTGACTGGGAAACATCTTCAGCTTTTGCCAAGAACTTGTAAAGACGACCATGCATCTCAGTCAATTCAGTTATGGATGCACTCTTCAACTACTTACTCAGAAAAGTAACCCTTTTCTTTTCTATGCTACTTACTCAGAACTCTATAATTTCTTACAAAATGCATCTTATATTCTCTTGACTGGGAAACACCTTCAACTTTTGCCAATATCTTTTAAAGACCACCAAGTATCTCTGTCAAATTCAGTTATGGATGCACTCTTCAATAACATACTTAGAAAAGTAGCCCTTTTTTTTCTTGCATGAACTCTTCAATTTCTTACAAAATGTAACCTATTTTTTATATGTTTTATGAATTTGCACATTATACTATAGGTGCAGGTATAATGATAAATGTATTTATCATGATTTTCTGCAGCTTGTAAATTTGAGGACCACCAAGCCTCTCCGATATCTTCCCCAGGTATTTGTGTAATTTATTTATTTTACCTATTGATATTCCCCAGCCTGGCCCACCTTAGTTGACAGGCATGAAAAAGCAAGCAGGGCTAAACTCTAATTAAATATTATTAATTTGAGGGACCAGCTGATTGAGATGTGGTTTTATCTGTATCTTGCACTTCTTACAATATTGTTTCTTCTTCTGCAGTGTCTTTCAAACAACAAAAAAGCTACTTTGACTGAAATAGTTGATGTGTTACGATCTGTCTGTCATGCACATAGATTACCACTGGCACTGACATGGATTCCCTGTTTTTACACTGAGGGATCAAGAGGTGAAGCTACAAGGATGCAAATTAAAGGGGGTCATTCAAGTACTAGTGGAAAAAGCATACTCTGCATTGAAGAATCTGCTTGCTATATAACTGATAGAGCATTGGCAGGATTTGTCCGTGCATGCACAGAACATCATCTTGAGGAAGGGAAAGGTATAGCTGGGAAAGCTCTTCAATCAAATCATCCTTTCTTCTATCCTGATGTGAAGACATATGATATTAGTGAATACCCACTTGTCCATCATGCACGCAAATATAATTTGAATGCTGCAGTTGCTATTAGGCTAAGGAGTACTTATACTGATGATGATGATTACATATTGGAATTCTTTCTGCCTGTCAATATGAGAGGGAGTTCAGAGCAACAACTTTTATTAGACAACCTCTCAGGTACCATGCAGAGAATTTGTAGTAGTTTGAGAACAGTTTCAGATGCGGAATTATCAAGAATAGAAAGCTCACAAGTAAGGTTTGGAAAGAAAAATGCCCCCTGCTTTTTTCCTTTGTCAAGTCAAAACTCTGAAGTATCATTAATAAATGGTGTGTATCAATCTGTCCCGAATATGTCATTGAAGTCAACTAATGTAAGAGACAATGAAATTGATTCTTCTGCTAACCAGGTACACACTATTTTTTTTACCCTAATAAATTAATTTTGTTATCGTGCAAACTTTGTAATAGCATGTTCTTGTTAATGTCTAAGTTTTTGAATAATGTTCTCCTCCTGAAATGAATGTTTACCTAATGTATATAATAAGCATTTTTAAGTTCTTAATATTCATTCATATATTACTGGTAGTTCTTAACCAAGAAGACTTTCCTAATCAGTGACCCATACAGTAATAATTGATATTCTTAACACGAAAACTGCATTGATAAGCTTTGGTGGATCATGTAAAGTCCAAACTCTTGATTTTCTTATCTTCTATTATTGCCATATCCAATGAATGTAGTGCTGTGCTAGTTATCTTCTTTTGTTTAAAATAAAATGCACAATGGATGTTACTCCAATATTTTTCTGCTGGAATTGAAGATTACATATGTCTACCAAGATAGGCTGTTAATAATTTATTATTATAGTGCTAATGGCAGGGTTAAGTGTGAAATTTGTGCTCCATTTGAGGGGACATCTGCTACAAGTGATTATGAATCGTGGAGAGTAGATCATGGGAACAAAAATACTGAATGCTCATTACTCTTAATTCTGTTATGTTACAAAGTTGTGTGCTAATTGAGGAAAATGTTGATTTAGTTTATGCCTCAACTTTGTAAGTTAAGGGTGGTATAAGTTTTATATGTCCTCAGACACATCTTTTTTGTCGTGTAGGGAAGAAATGGAACAAAAAGACAGGTCCATAAAAATAGAAGTACATCAGAGAAGAATGTTAGCTTGAGTGTTCTCCAACAATACTTTTCTGGTAGCCTGAAGGATGCTGCAAAAAAAATTGGTGGTTAGATTCCAACGTTATTTATTCTATTTCTGGATATTCATTGGCATGGCTTTTCTTGGTCAATCTCAACCATCATTTAAGCAGTATACCTTCTTAAAGCTATTATGAATTTCTTTTTTCTTCTCCAGTTACTAAGTTTGGAAACAACGAATGTATTTCACCAAGTATTTTATGATGGAATTGTTTAAAGGGTGCTTATTGCATGTTGCACCTTTTAATTTGAAGCAAATTGTTATTAGTATTATGTTGAAAGACACAAGAAGGATGTTTACAGAGTGGTACTTGCAGCATCCTAGATTAAAAGCATAGTGCAATTCAATAAGATCCTCGTTAGTAACAATTTTGCTTGATAATATGCAATACTACTGTTCTATCTTAAATAAAAATGGCATTTCATTGTCCAAAAGAGGTGTTCAATATTTCTGATAGGAAATTCTTGTTAATTGAAACAATTTTGCTATTGACAAATATTTCTTCTTTGACCAGTTTGCCCAACAACACTGAAAAGGATATGTAGGCAACATGGAATTTCAAGGTGGCCATCCCGTAAGATTAAAAAAGTGAGTCGATCACTGAAGAAGATACAGACTTTGCTCGACTCTGTCCGGGGAGTGGAAGGAGGGCTGAAGTTTGATCCCTCTATGGGGGCATTTGTGGTAGCAAGGTCAACCATCCAGGAAATTGATGCATATAAAAGTCTTCAGTTTTCTGAGAAAAGTATTATAAAAGACCCTTCACCTGTTACACAAGAAGCAGTCCTAGTACCATCTGCACCTTGTAGTGAAAGTGAGAAATTTTCAATTAAGTTGGAGGGAAAATTGAAGAAAATGAATGTTTTTTCAGTTGATTGTAGTGAAGATTCAAAATCAATTGCAATAGATAATGGGTCGTGCCAGATGGAAAGCCTTTGCACCAAGGTGCAAGATTGTCCTGAACAAGCTTGTTTGGGTTCTGTTCTTGCAAAAGAACAGGATAAACGGATTCTCAACAAGAGTGGTTTTGGAATAGAAAATTTAAAATGCAATATTCTTGGCCACAGTTCCAATTCCTTGATTGACAATGAGATAGACATTGGTGTAGATGGGGATAATGGGGTTGTTGAACCTAACCAACCTACTTCCTCAAGCTTGACAGACTCATCTATTGGTTCTGGTTCAATGATGCATAGTAGTTCATTAGGTTCTCAGAGCTTCGAGAACCAGATTCAGTCCAAAGTCAAATCAGCCATTGTTGATAGTGGGTCAAAACTAATTGTCAAAGCTATCTATAGAGAAGACACCATTCGTTTCAAATTTGACCCGTCTGCTGGTTGTTTGAGGTTATATGAAGAAGTTGCAGCAAGATTCAAACTACAAACTGGTTCATTCCAGCTCAAATATTTAGATGATGAAGAGGAATGGGTGATGTTGGTGAATGACGCTGATTTGCAAGAATGTCTAGAAATATTGGATGATATTGGCACATATTGCGTCAGGTTTCTTGTTCGTGACGTGCCTTCTGTTTTAAGCAGTTCTGGCAGTACCAATAGCTAAGCTCATAGCATATTGGATGTGGTGGTCGACTTCAATGTGAAAATTCAAGTCTCGCTTTGATAAGATGTTCTTGGTGTTTGACAGTCTTGTAAGGATCAGGCATCTGGACGAGTTTGAATCTTAGCCGCAGCCACCTATACCAAGTGCAAAGCTTCATTTCTAAAAATAGCTTTTTGGAAGATAGAAAGACGCGATTCATTCGAAGTACTGCGTCTTAAATACTTAGTTCTGTATATATTGAACACATAGCTGCAGTAGTCAGGACTGAGACAAACAGTTCTGTGATGCTGTGATCGCACTTTGTAATTGTATAGATTGATGGTATCTAGATAGATTGATTGATTTCCGCGACATAAAATCACCAAAGTATGATTATATGGATAAAAAAGGACAAAACAGTGATACAAAGCTTACCACTTGAATCGGCCACGACCAATTCACGTACAACAATAACTAATTCAGTATTGCACCAGGGCGATTGTAAAAAGTATTGCAGTAGAATTGGGTGATTGCTTCCTTTTCGACTCCGGATGACAAAGACGAATAGCATCAACCTCGGGTAATTTAAGTGATAAGGAGTTTGGTCTAGTTGGAAGTGACAATCATGCTCTGCTTCGGCTTTGGAAGATTTGATTTTCTGTCTGAAAGAATTGATTGACTTTGTCATTATCAGTGTCTATACTGTATAAAATATTCTTCCATGTGAATGTACATTTACATACCTGTATTCAAATACTAACTTATGTGCAGAGTGCTGGAGTTTAAATGGGATTGCCTTTTTAACATACTTTTTCATTGGATGCTCTAGCGGTTCTTTTAAAGTACTTAAAAAAGACCAAACTTCAATGATACTTCAGATTACAGATTATGAAGAATCGATGATTGCACCTGGAACAATGTCTGAATTAGCATTTAATAAATATAAGCGATGGCAGTGGTGGTTTCTTGTGGCACTTAGCACGGCCTATCTTATCAAGGTCAATCTGCTGGTGTTATCCTTGGCAGGTTTTACTACGCTCAGGGTGGAAATAGCCAATGATGGCTACTCTAGTTTAAACTGCTGCCTTCCCGATCTTATTCATGATATTGTATACAATTCCTTCACCTTCAGACGCTTCAACTCTGTTTCACCTTCCATTATTGTTTTGATATATATGTTGTTCTACGTGTCTTGATTTCTGCTGACGATATGATGTACTCCACTGGATTATTTATACCTCTTGACTTCTACCTACTTGCTGATTCGTGCATCACAGTTAACTTTTAATGCAGTTTTCTCATATTTTATCAATACTCAAAAGTTCACAGCTTTGATTATTAACCCTATAGTGGGTCTCACTTTGTCTGCTTCACTCCTTGCTTTTAACGAAGACTCAGATGAACTATATTGTCTTTCCAAGGGAAAGTACATTCTTGGTTTCCTATAGCTTCAACAATATACCCTCTTTTGCTTTCCCCCATGCAACTGACCTTGGAAAAGGTTGAGAAGAGGTAACGTTTTCTGTTGTTTTGGGCATGAAAATCTATAAATCACTCGTTGCCACTTGTGCTTCCATCATTGGCCTATTTGCAAGAGGGGAAGAGCGTACCTTGCGTGGAGAAATGGATGGAGGTTTTTGGGAAAGGACAGGTTCCTCATGTAATGTCTTTGGTTTGGACAACTGTAGCCTGTTGCTGGCTTGATTTTCCAGTGTCTTCTCTCTACTCAAATGTTATACGTTCTGTTTCTTTAGCTGTTACTCCTATTGCTGCTGCTATAGTCTTTCATGATCTGATGAATGGATTGAAGATAATTTCTATGCTTTTGGCTCGATGGGTTTTGCCTCTTATATCTATGAGAATTATCTTGATGATTCAGAAGGCAATAAATGCACAAACTGTAGCCAACCTCAGAATAATTTCTGCTTGTTGAGAATATTCAATTTGGCCATACCTTTGCCGATAGTTCATTAAATTACACATTTAATAGCTTCTTACCTAATGTAAATTTAATCTATCTAACTGTTCAAATTTATATTCTTATTAAATAGGTCATTTAAATGAAATTTCATACAATTTTTTGACGTTATCTTAATGATTATGTATATTAAATTTCGCATAATTTTTTTAGATGTTTATCTAATAGTAAATGTTTACATATTTTATTATATTATTTATTAAAGTTAAGTGATGTAATAAATCTAAATAAATTTAAAATTATATAAAATATTTTATAAATGATTTGCTTAATAAGAACATCTAAGTATACTGTTGGATTGATTAATTTTTTATTTTGTAAAAAAAATTATTAAAATTATAAATTAATGAATTGTGGTAAAATCGACGTAAACACAAATAAACTTTATTCCTAAGACGTGTATAAACACTTTTCTTAAAGCTTATTCGTGATGTATTGTGAAATTCTGAGGATTTCGAAACTAGCAAGAAACCCTTAAAAGAGTAAATAATAGTAGAATAGGAAGAAAATAGATAAGAGAATATGAGAGAGGTGTGTCCGAAAGAGTGCAAAGTGATATCTATTTATAGGTGGAGATTGGACCCAAAACTCTAACTACATACGTTCTCGGTAAAGTTCTCGATAAAATTCTTTGTAACCACGTTGATTAACGAAGAGATAAGAAGTTATAAAAATAAATAAAAAACCTTTTTTACTATAAACCTCAGGATATAAATAAAAGTTTTCAGTAAAGTAGCCATGTTGACTAACAGAAGATATAAGGAGTTATAAAAACAAACAAAAAACCTTTTGTGCTATAAACCAATTTTATCTCGGACGGTTTTTATTTAAGCTAGTTTGGTTTCGGGTTCTTTGAAAGTTAAGTAGCTACATTGACTAACGAAGAGATAAGGAGCTACAAAAATAAACAAAAAACCTTTTTTACTATAAACCAACTTTATCTCGGACAATCTTCATTTAAGCTAGTCTAGTTTCGGGTTCTTTGAAAGCTAAGTAGTCACGTTGACCAACAGAAGAGATAAAGGGGTTACAAACAATAAAAAACATAAAAAATAACAAAATTTAATAAAAAGATTTTGACAAAGTCAAATCATTCATACCCTCGTCAATTCAAGAGTGGTAAAAATAAGAGAGAAAATAAGTGCATAAGGAAAGTGTGCATAATGCATCATCCTAATAAAATCTCTCATGCATAAATACATGCATGCTACGGGGCATTAGATATCCTTAAGACAAAGGCGAAAGAGACTCAAGTGCGTTTGTAACCTTCGTTATACTTGTCAATCTATGACAAGGAAGGGACAAGTGCGCTAAGGTATGATAACCTTCGTTATACTTGTCAATCCATGATGGGGAATGAATCATTACACTGAAGTGAGTATGGTGCTCCGCAAAACATAAACTTTAAGGAGAATACCAAAACTATTGTCTTAAGGCATATCCGTCCCACACTAATCATTCATTTCAAATAAAACCCTAATTCATGTACATTCTAGAAAGTGGTTGGTCTTCTTCCTGTCCTTACTCACACGCAAAAGGCCAAGAGGATGGAGCATTTAGAGGAGCAAAACCGTAAGCTCACGATATAGCTTAACTCCATGAAAGAGTAAATGACGCAGCCAATGGAGTTGATGCACCAACAACATCTTGCCAAGGAGGGTCCTCATAGTGACCATACCTCTCACCACGAGGAAGAGGAGGAACCCCTCCATGTGCATGAACAGGGAGTTCATGTACAGCCCGACAGCAGGACAGTCCTCATCCATCCCCCCGAAGTTTTTAAGCAACAAATCTCTATCCTTGAAGAGAGACTGAGGACTATGGAATGACATAATTTTGATGTTAAAGAGGCGGCCGACATGTGCCTCGTCAAGAATATCCAATTCCCTCCAAAATTCAAGGTTCCAGATTTTCCCAAGTACATGAGGATGACTTGTCCCAAGAGCCATCTTACAATATACTGCATAAGATGACTTCATATGCCGATAACGAGGAACTCCTGATCCACTGTTGTCAGGAAAGCTTGATCGATTCGGTCTTGAACTGGTATATGCAACTGGAAGGGGGACAAGTCCAAACCTGGAAACAGCTGGCAGACGCCTTCCTTCGTCGCTACAAGTACAACATCGACCTAACTCCGGATAGGTCAGATCTTCAAGCCTTGAGCAAGAGAGGCAATGAATCCTTTAAGGAGTATGCTCAGTGTTAGATGGAGTTGGCCGGCCAAGTAGAGCCCCCACTGTCAGACAAGGAAACCGTGTCCATGTTTATCAACTCATTGACAGGTCCATATTATGACAAAATGATAGGGAACACGTCAACCCTTTTTGCGGATGTGGTAACCATTGGGAAGAGAGTAGAGCAAGGGTTGAAAAGCGGAAGGATTACACAACCTTCCTCATCTAATGCATCATTCAAGAAGCCCTTCAACAAGAAGAAAGAGGGAAGCATACATGCCATTAACATTGTTACTCCTTCTTCCTCTCCACAACCAGCTAGGTAGCCATGCAAAAAGGAAAGGAAATTTACTCCCTTCGCAACCTCCTATGAGAGTATGCTGCCGAAGCTAATAAAGGCTAAGCTCCTAGTACGTGTCCCTCTTAGAAAAATGGAGTCACCCTACCCTGAGTGGTACAAACCCAATGAAAAATGTGAGTACCACTTAGGCGCTCTGGGACATTTGTTAGAAAATTGCTTGACCTAGAAATATAAGGTTCAAGAGCTATTGGACGCTGGGTGGATTACCTTTGACGCTCCTACTCCTAGTGTGGACGCCAAGCCTCTGTCGCAACCAGAGTAGCGGGGTTGGATGAAGAAGGTCAGCTGATTAGGGGCTCCTCATTTTTTTTAAAGCTTTCTGTGTATCTCTTGCGGTCCCCGCCCGTGGCCGCAAGAATTTTGATTAAAAGAGCTTTGTACATATTTGTTTTCATCAATATAATGAGATATTTTTCATAGCATTCATATTCTTTTTCATTCTTTTTTCCCTTATTATTCTTTCAAAATAGTTGATAATAAAATCGGAACCTAAACAGAACCTTAATAAACGATCATGTCTGTGATTGATGAATCTATGTGGGATCCAAAAGTCGAAGGAGAATGGATTGAGTCCGACAGTGAGGAAGGGATCGTCTCCCCAGATATGCAGAGGCTGCTGGAAAAATAAGCTCGATTTATAGGGATTTAAACTGTGAAAGTTCAAAAGACAATTTTCCTTTACCACACATTGACATGTTGGTAGATCACACTGGTACAAACACACTTTATTCTTTCATGTACGGATATACGGGGTACAATCAAATTAAGTTAGTCGTCGAAGACATAGAAAATACCTCCTTCATCACACCGTGAGGAATATTTTGTTATAGAGTAATGTCTTTTGGGCTCAAGAATGCGGGAGCTACCTATCAGAGAGCCATGGTAACATTATTCCACGATATAGTCCACACAAAAATTGAAGTGTACACAGATGACATGATTACCAAGTTAAAAAATGAGATGGATCACATTCAATATTTGAGGAAGCTATTCAATCGACTTCGAAAGTATCAGCTTAAGCTAAACCCAGCTAAGTGTACTTTCGGAGTACGGTCGGGTAAACTTCTGGGGTTTATCGTCAGCGAAAAGAGAATCGAGGTAGACCCCGATAAAACAAAGACTGTTAGACAAATGACATCTAGAGGGGGGTGAATAGATGCACAAATTAAAATAGATGCCAAATTAAAATTTTATTTATTTAAGATGTCAAATAATTTGTTAATTCAATTTTAATTATCAGATAAAATACAAATATAGTGGAAACGATATAATCAGAGAGATAAAGGGAAAGAAATAAGTAGATGTTATCACAAAGGTATAAGGAAGAGATAAACACACAGTAATTTATACTGGTCCGGGTATAACCAACCCTACATCCAGTTCTTAGTCAACTCTAATCACAAGAGTGACCCTAATTCACTATCTTTCAAATTCAGTTTACAAATTACATTCAACTCAGCAGAGGAACCAGTAAAGAGTAAACTAATTAAAAAGACAATCACCTCAATAGAAACTCACTAAGGATGAACACCTCCCTAGAATCACACTAGGGATGAACACCTCCTCTGAACAAATCAAAGGATAAAAAGTACCTCCTTTGCAACAAACACACAAAGGATGAACACCTCCCTAGAATCACACTAGGGATGAACACCTTCCCGAACAAATCAAAGGGATGAAAACACCTCTTTAAAATCACACTAAGGATGAACATCTCCTCGAACAAATCAAAGGGATGAAAACATCTTCTTATAATCTCACTAAGGATGAACACCTCCTCGAACAAATCAAAGGGATGAAAACACCTCCTTAGAATCTCACTAAGGATGAACATCTCCCCTGATCAAATCAAGGGATGAACAACAATCATTTAAACCCTAAAAAGGGAATTTAACAGCAACCACTTAAACCCTAAACAGGAAATTTAACGACAACCACCTAAACCCTAAACAGAGAATTTAACATCAACTTTGTAAACCCTAAAAAGGGAAAGGTAATAAAATAAGAACAATCACACCTGGTTAATGGAGACAACAAATTGTAAAAGCCTGTAGAATGTCAACCTCCAAGAATAAGTGTGATTAACAATGAGAACATACAAGACAGTACAGAAGAAAATTTTCTCAAAAGGTGTAAAATCTCTCTCAGAATTCTTTTTTTAAAACTGAATGAATGTAAAATTGTATTTTCGAATTACGTAATTGTGTATTTTTTATTTTTCATAAAAAATAATTTAAATAGGAAAATAACATCGAGAAAATAGTCGTTGGTTATTAATACTTCCACAGAGAAAAATCAGGATGTATTAAAAAATATTTATTCTTTAAAACAAATATATTTTTCAAATTTGAACTATCATAATCGATTATGTTACCAGGTATAATTGATTATGATAAAGAGAAAATTATTTTTCTATT